GTTCTTCTCAACAGAGGCCTCGACTTCACCGTCCAAGCTCTCCGCCACAACATCGACAACACCTCTTCGGAACTTTCCGACTCCTTCCGCGGCGCCTACGGCAACACCCTCAAGCCCCACCACTCCTTCTTCGTCAAGCCCATCTTCAGCGCTGCCATGTCTGCCACCCCATACCGCAAGGACTTCTACTCGAAGCTGGGTCAGGATCAGGCCAAGGTTGCTGCCGCGATGGCCAAGGAGGTCGCTGCTTTGGAGAAGGTGATTGCCATCCTGAAGACTTTCCAGGCTACCAAGCCTGCTCAGTGGAAGTAAGTTTGCCCTGGAGGCCTTACCACTTGATTAAACATGTGCACTGTGCAACTGGATATGTAAATATTCGATTTGGCTTCATTCGAGCATGCGAGTTTGTATTATGTAGCGAATTCACTGTTTTGGTCGTCAAGGAATCTAGAGCATGGCGTATCTGGAGTAGAGATCCGAGCGTGGCAACCTTGGAAATGGGACTATCGATTTATAGATATCACATGGGAAGAAGGTAGGGAAATAACCAGCTGATCGGGCGGTTTATAAGAGTGATTTCAAAAGGGACACGACAAGTCCTAGTCACCAATTATACAGCGTATTCGCTTTGCTTATGCGTTTTCGTCCCATCCATGGATGTCCGAAAAGCAGGTACACCCGAGGCCAGCCTCATCACCCGTGGACCTGGACAGACTTGGCAGAGCATCAGCTTCCATTTCAACCCCACCAGATGCTCTCTGAAATCCCGAGGTCAGTAGGAGATAATCTGGGCATGTGCGGAGTACTATTATCACTTTTATCTGACAAACCCTTCGCCAAGATAGAAGGGCCCCATATTATATTGCGATCCGTGGTTAGAGGGGGTATAGCCTTGTCTCGGCACGCAGTCTTGGGTTTAATTTAGAAGACCCTGTGCCAAGAATATTTGTTTAGTTGTGTATTCCGTATGTACTCCGTACCGAGATTGTATTGCAGCTAATCTCAATTTTGGAATTGATGGTAGACTTGAAAGTCCGATTGGCTAGAGAGACCCATATTAGGTTGTCGGATTGACAATTGGGGGCTCTGGGAGTATTAAGTTATTCTAGGGCGATCCCTATATTATCAATCCAACAATCGTTGTGTTGTACGGAGTACTCCGTACTCCGTACACGATTGCCGGGTCGCTATTACCGGATTGCTTGTGGGGTCGTAATTTCCAACAAGACACCCGTGGACATATTGCAGATCGTACCTCTTCTGCCGAGGTCCCCGCTAATCGAATGCTTCGCTTTACATCTAGGGATTTCTCCCTTAAGAGCCTCGAGACGATTTGCATAATCAGATCTTGATGCGGAGTAAAAAACAAAACTCCAGATCTATTCATCTTCGCACACGAGATCTAGGCTAAGTCCGGTCATATCGCCAAAAATTGCCAGTATTTTCCGTGACCATGCACACCACAGACCCTAGACAAGGATCGCCTGCAATAGCCGCAATTGAGAATTCAGGCGGCCAGTGCAACTGGGTTTGGGATTGACGGGAGTGCTTCCCCTGAAGGTGAAGACAACCTTGGAACCTTCCAAGGTTGGAAACTTCAAAGCGGATTATCAGCAACGGCTACCCGTTATAGAATAGTCCCGGCACTAGCATCATGGTAGCATTGTTATCACGGACTTGGATCTTTTCAAGCCATCGGCTCCACTGGTTAGTCTTGATTCGCGGTAAATAGTGGAGAATCCTGTTCGGATGGACTCGAGTCATGGAGAAAAGAGGCCTGTGCGTGCATCTACATCGCACTTTGTACATAATGAGAGGCTTGAGCGGTGGCATCTGAAACCCATTGGAAGCCCCCGGGGTCGTATTCAAAACAGTTGTCATGCAGGTGGCTTCCACATGGTACGGTGAGAGTTCTCTTCCAAGGTTAAAATTCCGTCTTTGCATAGAGGGAATCTTTAGAAGATTCGAAGCTATTGGAACAGCCTTTCTTTTCTTTTTTGTCCCGTTTCCTTTTTTTTCCCATTTTCTAGTTCTCATTCTGGGGTCCCCCACACGTAAAACATTCTTCCGTTATGTTCAGGTGCCGAAGGGCCCATTGTTTCCAAGGTTTCAAGCAGATGTCTAACCTCATATTAACAAGCGTATGGATTGCCCGTTGGTTCGGGATCATTGGAGACTTTTGATATTCATTCGAGTGTCCCATTCTGGCTATTTTCTTTTTACCGATTTTGCTTTTTCCGCCTTTACTCCGTCTGTTTTATTACGAGAAAAAATAGAAACACGAGAACATCACCTTGGCCCCTCTCTCTTGGCCCGTTCTCGCCACTGATGCCCGTGATCCTAAGGCTTGATCTGCGCGGGAGTGGGCTTTCTCTTATTGTAACATTCTTCTCTCTTTAATATATCTTATTCTTGTTGCTCCTTTGGACATCCTTGCATACTTCGTAGGGAAAATTATACAGGGTACGGGCCATGAATTGATCATATATTCATTCTTCGGGTCAATATGTTGCCCCTTGAAGGTCGCAGCCAGTCGATCTTCATCGTTACTACTATCTTCCTTGGAATATCATTCATTGCCGTGTGTCTACGATGCTTCGTGCGGCTTCGACTTGTCAAGGCCTTTGGCTGGGATGATACCTTTATGGTATGCGCAATGGTATGTACGATATGTTCCATGCGCAACTAAGGCCAGAACTAATTGATTTGCAGTTGTTGAACATCTTGTTCGCTATATGCGGTATCACTGGCGCATTATATGGAATCGGACAAAGATCCGATGATCTCGTGAAGAGGGGGACGATTGAAACCGCCATGTTTGTATGTTGACCTTCGACTCCAACCTGCACTTACGATATGAGAATCACATGCTAAAACTCCTCAAAGTGGTGGTGGCTCGGTCAAACCAGCTATGTCTGGACCTGCGCGCTGGCCAAGATCTCTATCGCATTCGCCCTCCTCCGCTTGACGGTTTCCAATGCCCATAAACTCGTGCTATGGGCTGTTATTGGCGTCACTTGTACTATTGGTCTTGTCTTCTGGTTCATGTTGACACTGCAATGTCAACCGGTTGAGTTCTTCTGGCAACAAGTTCGCCTTTTGTCGAACCCCCATGCCAATGTTTCTGGCACCTGCATGGACCTGGACCATATCATCGCCATGGCCTATGTCTACAGTATCACCGCTACACTGTGTGATCTGACCTTGGGTCTTTTGCCTATTGCCCTAGTATGGAACTTACAGATGAACCTCAGGACCAAGTGTGCCTTGGCGGGCATTCTGGGAATGGGATGCATGTATGTCTTGTTCTTTTCATGGCTTAGAATAAGACTTAGTACTGACCCATTCTGGTATAGTGCGAGCGCAGCAGTCATCATTCGCATTCCTTTCTTGCACGACTACAAGAACGTCGACTTCCTATGTAAGTCTCCATTCCTCTTTACGAGCACTCGATAGAATCGACAGAGAGTGAAAAGCAACAACAACTAACACCACCCAACCCCAACAGACGCAACCGCCAACATCTCAATCTGGTCCAATGTTGAAGCCGGCCTCGGAATTGCCGCAGGTAGTCTGGTAACCCTTCGACCATTATTCCGCTGGTTCCGTGACCCCAGTTCAATGGGAGGAAGCAAGAGCAAAAGCAAGCGCACTGGCGGCAGCATGCCTCTTTCAAGCGTCAACGGAGGACGCTCAACCACATCAAACCCACAATACTGGCGGCCAGACCTAGACCGAGAAGACCACAATACGGTGATTACGACAATCCACACCTCGAATGGATCGGAGGCTAGCCGAACGAGTAGCCAAGAAGATCTGAATCCGACACACGGCGGTACATTCTTTCAGGGAGTGAATGTCCAAAAAACGTTCTATGTTTCGGAGGATCAGGCATCATAAGTGGCTCCCTCGGTAGTAAGATAGACTATAATATATCTAAACTCTAATCTTCTCTTTTCGCTCTTTGTTTACAATACTCCGTACTCCCGTACTACAACGCGTCTTTCACACTGCCCCGCTCCGGTCCTGGCCCCTGGTTTTCTCACCCCATCAGCACACCAGGATTCACTTGGTTCGTCATTATGCTATTCGTTAAGTAGAGGCCCTGTATTGTTAGTAGTGCTCCACTCTGCGGCAGTTGTAATGAGCCGGCTATGCCCGATGACGTTGTCTAGCACATTGATCTGTCCTCTTTACCCAGCGTCTATTTCCCTCGTCGCATGGAAGTCGTCATTGGTAACGGCGGCAACTAAATCCTTCTTAACATACATATCGTTCTTCATTTAGATGTATCTGGCGAGGTGCGGCACAGCCTTTAATTTGAGAAACACATTGGCTATCATGCTGTCTGAAGCTGTGTGCTAATGTTGTACGGCATCGGCGAACTCCCATGAGCCATTGAAATGGACTCTTCGCGGACCTGAAACAGTCGTTGGCACCTTAGGCACCCGAAAACATCAATCATCAATCCAAAGTTGTATGTATGTACCTTCCGACCTGTGGACATTGGAAGGTTAGATCGAATTTCAAGTCTACGTCCCTCTTTTTTCTCCTCTACTTTGTACTTGACTTTCTATCAACTCCCTCTGGTTCTATCCCCGCTATAGCTTGACACTTTTCAAGTGCACTCGTTTTACTTATATGAACTTGGGTGATTTCATCTTCCTTGAAGTGGAAGGTGCCTTCCTATTTGGATAATTACCATATGAACCTGTGGACTAAAAGCACCTGGGCATATATCGATGGATTATATTTCGGCTTAGGTATTAAATCGAGTATTACGATACACTATAACCTGAAACTCCGCGTAGGCTAATTTGCTGCTATCGATAAAAGTTACCAGGACCATAAGTCAGAACAAAAACATAGCCTCCCCAAGCCATATACAGGACCCTTGGCTTTTGCTACTATCTAGGCATCGAAAATTTACATTTATAGATTTCCACGGGAAGTCCCCGGTGGTCTCTGTGCACTGTGATCCACACCTCAGCCACCAAGTCTCATTCCTCCAGCACCTCCTGCTTCTTGGTCGGGTCCGACTCAGACTTCAACATTTTCTGAACCCACAGCTCAAACCGACGTTTGCGATAACGGCATCCGTTGTACTGCGCTGACTTTGGTGTTTTGGGGGCTGGGGAAGGTGGAGAATGCGAGCCCGGAGGAACTGTCGTGGGTGACGGACCTAATAGGTCTCCAGATTTGCGAGATCTTGTCATCATACGTCGAGGTTGCGGGGTCTTAGGAATGGACTGCTTCGGGACCTTGACCGGACGCTGGTTGGAATCTTGATGGGCAGGCCTTTTCCTCTTTTGCTTTGGTATCTCGGTATAATTTCTTGGGTCAGGTGTTTCCATTTCTTCCAGGAAGCGCCAGAGGATGAAGTTGGTAGTTCTAGGGCATGGTTTTGGTAGCATTTCGGACAGTGTGCTATACGAAGGTATCATTAGAGATGTTCAAGGAGGAATGGATGACCCCAAGGCAATGATAGGAGGGGCACTTGCCTTGGTCAATAAAGCAAGTCTGGAGACGAATACCAAGTGTTGGTCATCCAGGCTGGCTAGCATTATAGGAGCTAGAAATAAAAAGAGTCCAAGCAGAATAATATTATAGACATCACGAAATATGGCGATGACATGTCAAGGATCATGCAACCTTCCAATGTTTCAGACGGTTTCAATGCTGCCGTATGGGATATAAGAGAATGAGTCCCTTTGAGCATATAGGAGGAAGAAGAAATGTTGTTGTTGAGAAAGAGTCGGATCATACAGCATATGCTGTATCATTCCACCGGGTCCAGTACAAACAGCCTAGAATCAATTAGGGCTGCATGGCTGAGACCAGCTTGCATATGCAGACCACCATTGAATACCTGTGGCAATTTCCGCGGACCAAAATTTCCCCGTCTCATATCCAACCTGTCTTTCAGTTCCCTCTGTACTATCCGTAATTCTGCTGTACACTGTTTGCATGTCAATGGAGGGGGAATCGAGGAGAGAAGATAAAGAAGAAAAGGAGATAAATTACCCAATGATATACTAGTCGAGGTACATTTATATATATCAGGAACTTTCCTTGAAAGAACCAAGAGATTTGCGCTACACTTTAAAAAGTACTAAAGGTATGTTTTATTTGTACAAAATAAGAATACTATTCTTCCTCTCCACTATAAATGCAGATATGCTTTTCAATGGGGCTGCAGAACGCTAAGACCGCCACCATGCCAACCTATATTCAAGAAAAGGCTGTTTTCCTTCATGTAACACTTTATTGCTCGTTTCTTCAACAGCCCGGCCGGGCTAGCTCAATCGGTAGAGCGTAAGACTCTTAATCTTAAGGCTGCGGGTTCGACCCCCGCGTTCGGCTATTCCTAAAAACCAAACCTGAGATTTCTTTTTTTGCTCTTTTCTTTTTTTGGATTTGTTTACTGAATGAAGATTGAAGAATATATTGGAATGATGCGAAGGTATGCATCGTCCCAAGGGACAGTTTTTGTATACATAATGACCGACCTCGAAGTTACTTTCGTGACGTCAACCTCCCGGAGTTAGGGCTACTATCTAAGTTCCGTGTCATCAATACCCGCTAATGCACATGCACCTGCTTGCTTCATTAATGGTAATACCAATACTGATAATTAGTACTAATCAATTACCATTGGGCATATATACAGCTTATAGCTTTAACTATATTTGATCTATTATATGGATTCGAAAGAATACCATATTTATTACTGGCGGCGTGCATGCATTAGCGTAGTTCTCGCCCAGGCTGTCGTGGTAGGTATCAATCGATTACCTAGCATTAACACCGAAAAGCTCCAAAGACCGAACAGTTTAGCACACTGGAAAAAAAAAGAAACATGTATATATATAGCACTTCTATATTCTCTTTGTTCTACTTCTTTACACGCTCAGCCAAAGACTAATATCTTTGCACCATGGGCTCCGTTCAGAAAGTTGAGTTCCTCAGCAAAGGAATCAAGATCGTGGGTGACTTGTTCCTCCCTCCTGGGTATTCTCCCAATACCAAGTACCCTGCAGTGATTATCGCCCATCCTATGACTGGAGTGAAAGAGCAAGCTCCGCATGTTTATTCGAAAGTCTTGAGCCCTGCTGGGTTTATCTGCCTTGCCTATGATGCCGCATACCAAGGCGAAAGCGAAGGCCAACCAAGGTACCTCGAGGATCCAGCTCAACGAGCCGAGGATGTCAGGGCTGGTATTACGTATCTTTCTCTGCGCCAAGATGTCGACCCAGGGCGAATCGGGGCTCTTGGTATCTGTGCCTCGGGTGGCTATGTGCCATTTGCCGCACAAACAGACCAACGAATCAAGGCTGTTGCAACTGTCAGTGCCGCTTGTACTGGACGATTGACAAGAGAAGGCCTTGTGGAAGGAATGGGAGGTCCTGAGATGTTGCAGGGGTCGATAAAGGCTGCAAACGAGGCCCGAATCACAGAAGCAAACGGACAGCAGGCTCCAGTCAACCCCGCCCTTCCTCTAACCGTCGAAGATGTCCCGCCAGAATACCCACCCATCGTGAGGGAATTGGTAGAATACTATAAGACGCCGCGAGGTCAGCATGAACGTGCACCTGGTCTGTTTGCAACTAGAAGTGCGGATCTTTTGGCGAACTTCGATGCCTATGCTTTCAACTACCTCATTTCGCCTCGTCCTCTTTTGATGATTGCTGGTGCCAATGCTGCCACGAAATTCTACAGCGAGGATGCCATCAAGATTGCGAAGGAGCCAAAGGAGCTATTCATCATCGAAGGTCGGGACCATGCTGCTTTGTACGACAACGCGACTGAGTCGGGTCCTAAGCTGGTGGGATTTTTCAGGGATAACCTTTGAGCCGATTGGTACTTGATTCTCAAACTATGGGACTGCAGAGGGGTAGATTATAGAGGTACCGGAGTTAAGACAACAGCGATGTCGTCTCATCTACTATTCGGGTCCCGCGGCTCCCGACCCGTCAGCATCCAGGTGCTTACCTCCAGGGCTAGTGAGCGAGTTTCATAATAGGTCAAGATTGTACGTAATATGCAACAATGGAAATAGGAAGTTGGAATAATAGCCTAATGCTAAAATTATGTAGGAATCCATGGCAGAGCGGTAGAGCATATATAGGAATAACCTCAATATCCACCAAGAGGGTAGAACAATGGATACTCTTGTTTCCTTGAAAGAATCCCTGTAAACACCCCCAAATAAGAGATATATTCATCTGGCATATTTCATCTGTTAGACCTGGTCTTTCGGCCTTTTTTTTTTGTCCCCATGAACCTACATACTATATAGATGGCTGCACGGTAGCCGTAGTAGGTAGTTATCCGTGTCATTGGCATAGCAATTGACCAGGGCTTGGTTTTCCTCCTTGCTCACTCTCCATTTACCTCTCTCGACTAAAAGGATATCATCGTGTTTCATTCCTCTCATCGATTCCTCTCTCTATTTCTCTAGTCCGTGTCCTACCTCGACGTCGACTCCTCTTCTCCAATTTTCACCATGGCAGGTATCCGAAGCTTTGCTAAAGCTGTGAAGAATGGATCAATTTTTTCTGTGTGTTATTGTGGGAGCTATTTGCTGGATTTTCATTTCGGTTGGTTGTTGAAATTGTGAGATAGATCCACGACTCCTGTGCATAGGCATTTTACTCGGTGGATAGCCTAGGATCTCTTGGATATATAAATAAGTTTAACCGTCTAAGATAGGAAAGAACACCCGAATTATATAGATAGCAAAGCCATTGATTGTATATATCCTAGAAAGAACCAACGCCCGATGCTATGCACATATCTTCTGAAAGCAAAGTGCTCGAACGCCAGAACATCAAGATTAATAAAAGGTGCAAGCGAGAGTAGCCGGGTGGGTGACCAAAAGACGCAAGAAAGATAGATAAATGTGCAGGTAGCGCGCGTGAACGAAAACAAATATTCCAATCCCAACAATTAAAACTCAAGTCAAGAACTTGGCTGCGGATTCCCCGTATAAAGACCTTCGAAATCGAGATTTGCAAGCATGCCATTGACGCGATCGATCTCACGACTCAGGTCCTCGACGTTCATCGCTAGACTGCTCACTTCATCGAATTTGCGCCGCCGATTAGCATCGGCGATCATCTCGGATACAAAGAACTTCTGCTCTTCTAGGACGATCAGCCGGTCTCGAAGAGACTTTTCTTCTGCTTCCAGCGCTGAGACGGCACTGCTGGTGTCGCTAGCTAGGCTGCTATTGCTACCGCTGGCGGCAACGCTGTTGTACTTGATCGATGAAAGAGCAGACTCTGGTGGCCGGATACCTGTCGTGGAGCCATTGACTGGAGTACTTGGGGAGCTTGTCCGCGGGGAGCTTGTCCGGCTGGGTATTCTCTCTGACGCGGGGGTTGCATGCTTGAGGATTTTGGGGAGTGATTTCAAAGGTAACATATGGAGGTGAAGGAAGTTGCTTGCTTGTTGATATATAGCCTTCTGCAGCTTTTGTTGTGTGGGGGATTGGGTCGGCATGTCACGAATACGTCGAGCCGCAACATCATACTGCGCAAAAGAATCAATCAGTCGCTTGCGCACCTTGGATGCATCTGCAATTTGGGCTGATGATGGAGGTCGCCTCGGATCCCTGGTACAATGCCGTTAGTGACCGATTCGAACACCGGAGACGGAAAACATACTGTAAAGCTGTCAACAGCTTTTGGAATCTCGGTAGATGAAGGCGGATGCCTCTCTCAAACTGGGTCAAGTTTTCATAAGCCCTGATCTCCGGCGGTTTTCGCGTCATATCTGCTTTAAAGTCGCGTCGATCAAACAGCGTCGCTTTACATTCTTTGCATAGCCTCACATCAATGTTGACAAGGTTATCGCCATTGGTTTTCTCAGAGGTTGCTGTCGAGCCTGTTGAAAATTAGACCAAAGTTATGAGGGAATGTCGTCTCGGAACTCACCAGGAGAAATGCTTAGCCCAACCTCACTAGAGCACTCGGTACTAGGATCACCGCAGACGACTCGTCCGCAAGTTCTGCAGTGGTGCCTGCGAAATGTATAACCCGAAAAGTCCTGTTGGCAAAATGGACATCGTGAAACACTGGCATCATCCTGCCAGCTAACGATCGTTTGCTCTATTTCCTTACGTTGATCATTCTGCCACGCAAGAGACCAAAGTTTGGTTGCACTGGGGTGTATTTGATCCGGCGGCAGACTAGCCAACAGTTGAGTGAGACGGGTCAGTCGTTTCTCGAGTCGGGATATCTCCAAAAATTCCTTATCAACAGTCTGTTTTCTTATTGACTTGAATGCATCCATTTGGTTCCTCACGGTTCCTGTTTCCTGTTTAGCTTGGTCCAGACCTGAAAGCCAATGTACTCACCATTATGATCATTGTACCCCTCTCTTGACTTGTAACAGGTTTCGCACACTCGGGCCCATATTCCTCGCACCGGTTCATGATGTGCCGCCCGCGAGAGCTTCATTTGGTACATCGTGTGTTCTTCGCAAAACAGTTTCCCGCAACTCCGACAATTCACGCAGCCGTTGGTGGCATTCAATCGTTTCCCACAGGATGGTTCTAAACACTCGTCGTACATAGAACTTGTTTGCCAGTGGTCTTTTGTTATAAGATCCTCGGGGTCTAGGAGTTTCGGAGGTTCGGGTATGCCTGCATGGGGTGCTAGTGGGCGACTGGGGATAGGTGTGCCCTGGTTCTCGTTTGATTCGAATACATCCAGGCCTTTCAACTTCTGGTTTAGGACTGCTAGAGGCTGAAACTTCCTTGCTTTTTCCATTTGGACCTTGAACCAATCTTTGACTTCATCTTGGTGGCTATCTTCCAGGTTCTGATGGATGTCGTCGAGATGTCTGCGTTAAGTCGTTAATTATACGTCAAGGCGGTCGTAAGGGGGAGCGAATGATCGGTACCTATTTAACTGCAGCAAAGTCATCTAGACCTAGTCAGTATCATCTCACTCGACCTTCAAGAAACAAACAGGGCCTGGGAACAAGCATACCATCTGTTCGCTACAGATCGGACAGGAGAGCTGAGCTCCCGGAGCAGCCGGGGCGGCGGATATCGAAGTGTCGCCATTCTCTATTGAAATGCGTGAAGTGAGATCCTGAGTTTCTGTCGAGAGCTGTGATGCGGCCTGTGAATTAAGGGAAACGCTGCTGGCGGTCGGCGAGAGCACCCGTGGCTTCGGCTGCGGGGACGGAGTTGATGTGAGCGCGCTTGGGTTGCCCAGAACACGACCTCCACCCAGCGTCCTCCGCGACATGATCACGGGGGCATGAGAAGCTGGAGTAGAAGCTGTTTCAGCACAACATTCGTTGGCTGTACAGAATAAAGCGTCCTTGGAAGTTGACCGGAAGGAAGTGCCAGTTATAATGTGGAGTCAGCGCATGTGGCTCCGCCGCCTGAGGCATCTTTGCCAAGAGTTGCCTCTCAATGAGATTTGATATTCATTTGAGATTCATAGATTTGGAGATGTCTCTGTTTTTATTGATTGGATTTGGTTTACAAGTATTATTATGAGATAAATTGTCATATATTCCCTTTAAAACCTACGCCAAAGCCAAAGATTCAATATCATTATCTTCTTTTAGTAGTATATACCTCGGTAGCACACCATACAACATACGATATACAAAACAAAGAAAATTCAAAGAAAAAGTACCAAATTTGTTGCATTCTGTCTGATTTGAATTGAAGCCATACCTTCGCCAACAATAAAACCAGACTACATAGCCGAGCCAAGCAGAAACGACAGACTGAAACGAGACTGAAACGACAGACTAAAGCGACAGACTGAAACGACAGACAAGAAAAGAGTTATATAGTCGCTAAAACAGACAACAAATCAGGGTTTTTTTGCTTTTGAACGCTTTTCAATCTTTTTTTGCCCTTTTCATCTGTTTTTGCGTTTCTAAGTGATTCATCAGGTTCGTGGTCTCATGCCGATTTATATACAAGCGTAGGTCCAAACCAAACGCGAATCCTCCAATTACTGAGCGCGTTTACCGCTCATAGTCACGGTGGTAGCTGGTACCAGTGTTTGGATTGTCGTACTCCTTGTGGACACGAGTAGATCCGTCATCAAAGCGGTCAACGTCGCGGTGTCGATAGGTGCCAGCCTGGTTAACTCTCTCGCGGTGGTGTCGTCGGCCGGTCGGGGTGCTGTAATCAAGATGTTGATCATAGGCACCAGTCTGGGGGTCGTATGTTGTGGTGCCGCGGCCGGTGTCGGTGTCATAAGTCGTAGCAGTTGCATTTGAATCGTAGCCCACTGCGCCAGCGCCGTAGTCCCTTGTACCGTATGTGTTGTAGCCCGTGGGGCTGTATGTCGAACCTAGCGTATCATAAGTTGAGCCTGCAGGGTTGTAGGTTGATCCTGCAGTGTCGTAGGTGTCGTAGGTCGTGGACCAGGTGTCTCCGTAGTTGGTCATCTTGACGATGTGTTCTCAATAGAGATAGAGAAATTATTCTTTGTGTGTTCGTTGTTTGATTTTTGGACAGTAAAAAGTACCAGGCCATTCTGATTCTTATATCCTTGTCGTGGCGTTGAATCTCATGATGATGATACTCCCCTGACATCACTTGGGCGACCATGGAAAATTCGCCAAGTGAGGCAATGTAGCTGAATGGGAACAGAAACTAAATATATTAGTCGCACATCTTTGGAAATCGTTTTGATTGATCAGATTTTCTGGGGCATCGGTTCCAGACTGTTGCCTCAGAAGGCGGAATGATGTTGTATACTTCGATACCCCACAGAATCGATAGATGATTGCATTAAACCCCACAAGTGCCAGATATTCAGGAGTTCTGTAGATTTCCAAAGTGATGCCATGGAATTAACTCGATTCAACTCGAGAGAGTTCTGTTCATTTCGTTCTACCAAAGTAGTTGCATGGGTTGATCGAGACCGCGAGCATCTTGGGATTAACTCAAAACATTAGGTGAATTTGATATACTATGCCCAATGTCGTGCCTCAAATAGGTATAATTATTGGTGGGATTTGGATGTTTAATGTCTGAGAAAGAGCAAGACGCTACCTAGGGAGTCAATACCAGTCAATACTAAGAAAGAATAGTCATTAGACGCCATAGACACATCAGAGCGCTTGAATTATACTATGTTTTAGAACCCTCAGGTTGGCTCTATGTTGATGTCGACTCTCACCTAGCCACAATTACATTTAGCTATCCCGACCGAGAGGCGCCAATGCATCCGACAGGAATTCGGTGGCGTTCATTAGGTCTGTACTTCCATAGACAACCCTTCGGCGGTGTCCAGGTGCCGCACGTTGAGCTGGCGCACCCTCGGCGCCCGGTTGGCCATTTGTTCGGCGAACCCATTCCTGCAAGTTGCCGTACTCATCCATGCTTCCACCACCAACTGTAAAGACAATAGCCTCGCTAAAGGCTTGACGTCGCTGTCCGAAACTGGCACCGGTACCAGGGCCTGCGCTACCGATTCCACCAGGCATTTGCGGGTTCCGCGAGGCGGATGCTGGAGGCATGGCGCCACGTGCGTTGGCGCTCCTCGGGTCAAAGTAGAGGTAGTTTTCGGTCTTTGCAATAGCAGAACTTGAAGCTGCAGTCGGGTCCATGATCGACTCAGTGATCTTAGTCACAGTAAGATCCTTGTTCGTTGGTAGGAAATTCTTTACCCCTGAAATGAGCGAGTCGAAGTTGGCACCTAAAGCGCCTGAGGTAATGCGATCCGTCAGACGATTTGAAAGTGAGGAGAATCCACGGAATAGATCGGAGGATTGTTGTTCTGGAGCGGCCGTTGTCATCATGGTCATACGAGTGATTTCGCGCACCTGGCGGACATAAGCAAGAGAGGAAATATCGGACACGCCGGCTTGGGTCAGGGCCTCTTCGAACTGAGTCATTTCCGAGCGGCTGAGCTCAGTTTCTGTGCTGAGGAACCAGATCACGAACAAGCGCAGCTTGTCCAATGGTTCACTTCCTTTAGAAGCATCATTGATTAGCTCCAAGATCTGTGACTTTGATTGTTTGGTAATGGTCTCTTCTAGCTCGAAGAAGTTGTCCAATTGCCGATCCTTGATGCCCTTGAGCAGTGCGGTGGCAATGTTCATGTGCATATCAAGGACTGCCTTGCGTTCCCGCAACTCAGGGAGAAGTGTGATGGCGGCCTTGAGATGTTGCGCGGAGGCACTGGTATCATTCTGGAGATCTTCAATTGAAGAGGCCCCCGTCTTCTTTGTAATCTCATTCGCATCATCCTTGTACCGTGTAAGCTCAGCATCGATATCCTCAGCCACTTGGGGGAAGGGGGCTCCAGCGTTGCGTTGCCAGAAGAAGTCGGTACTATTCAAGTCATACGACTTTTTGGAGCCCTTAGCCGAGTTCGCATCGCCTGCACCTGCATCAACAGTGATTCGATTCAGACGCATTTCAAGAACATCCTGGACTAGGGATTGATATGTCCACGAGTGGGAGAGCATTGGGACTAGATCAACATTTCGGTCCATGATGATAAGTACCGGCCGTGCGGATGGCACTCCCGGCAAAGCGTTCTGATTGCCCGAGAAGAGGTTGTCTTTGGAATTGAGGATGTGGTCCCGCAATTTGCGGTCCAGTTTTGTTGCTATCAATTCTGCCGCACCACCCTTGGGGCACCGTATGATTGGAATGGTACCTGCTCAGCCAGTTAAATCTTCGTCCGATGATCCAGGGTAGGGTTTGATACTTACCCATTGTCACGCTCACACTGAACAAACCGCTAACCACATTATCAACAATCCCATCCAGGTCTTCATCCGTCGTTTTTGGGCTGTTGATCTTGTAGTATGCATCGTTCCCAAGCCCTAAACTGAAAAGGTCTGGCTCTGCCACAACAAAGTTGAGATATTGATCGAAAACCTGTGCAATATGCTCAGATGCGCCAGAAGTAGCTATTTGAGAAGCGAAGTCCTCGAGAAGTGGCCGCGGGACGGAGGATAGGAAGTTCACATAGGCTGGGGAGTAGAGCCCGTGGGAAAGGTCGCGAGTGATCGCTTGAATATTCTCGGGGGTTGGTTCCACAAAATATACAACCGGGACATCTGGAATAGGGTATCTTTGTGAATGAAGGTTTCTAGGAGCGAGTCTTCGTTAGCGATGGTGCCAATTTAAGGGGAGAAGGCGGCAACCGTACAGATGAATAGTTATGCCCCATGCCCGGAGATCGTTTACTCTCAGGACACTGCTGATGACATCCCGGCCCATTTTATCGAACACCAAGACTTTCCAGATTGGGTCACCATCTTCATTCAAGATCGGAGTGGAGTGCGAGATAAGACCGCCGGACCCGGACTGATCGATAGTGTTGTCTTCAACAGGTTGCGGATCATGATTCAAGTTCAATAGCTTTTGAATTGATGCTAAATTCCAGGGATTAGTAAAGGTCGATTTATCGTAGGAATCCAGCTTGCGTCACCTACCGACCTGTCGGTCCCGGAGGGACATGGACTGCGCCATGGCAATAGCTGGCAGCGCTGTGTGAGATTGGAGAGATGCTCGGTTTTAACCAAAGCTTGGCAATCTATGAAGCTGCGCAGGAAGATAGCTGAAATATGCGCGCAACTCTTAGAAGGATGATGAGATTGTACCTTGCACTGTTGACACCGGGGATCTTGCTATCGCTCCACCTGGCATGGATCCCGCTGCGCTGCGCTGACATAAATGTTGCAAACACCACAAACAATAAGGATCACATGGATTTGATTCTGCCATGTAACATAGGGGCTGTAATTTACATGGCGGTGGGCTTATGGAGACCCTGCAATATTATAATTACGGTCAATTGTGGTATGCAATAGTATCATCGGCTAACCGCCTTGCCAGCAGCTTTTGTCCCTTTTACTCTCTTCTTCAACCCAAGTCATCTACTCTAACCATCCCTCAACACCATTCCCCAATCCCTTCTTTTTTTCCCGTAAAGCGAATGGCTGTGACTCTAGAGTGGTCCTTCGTATGAAAGCTTTTTACTTCTCTGATTCCGCAAGGACTTTCTTTTGGGACAAAACTTAAGAACGAGAAAGGAGAGCGAAAAGCCCAGGGACAACAGGAACAGCCCAAGAAGAGAGAAGAAGGAGAGATACAAAGTGAAGGACACAAGGAGAGAGGCACCGGAGTTGAAAAGCTGGGCCATCTTAATACTTCTACGTTGTATTCGCAACTGCGGAGCCTTCGTCATTAAGCTGCAAGGCCAAAGGGTAACGCCGTCACTTGCAGTACTGGGGAACAGAGTTGATGCCTGAGGCATATACCACTTTAATCCTGAGTCAAAGCCAAAAGCAGTCTCTGTTTTCTCTCATTAAGGTACGACAGTACTCATACTGCAACTCTTCAAGTCCATTCTAGGCGTATCAAACACATGTGAATTGTCTAATCCTTATCAATTCTTCAGACCAGCAGCTCTACAGGCCCCTGTTCTGCCGTGTCGTGAGACAATCAACCAATAATCTCACGTTCTCTCACCGGAAAAAAATATTTACCCTGCCGAACCTTCGACCCACTTCTTCCCCCAAAAATAAAAGGCGGTGAGCACCAAATAAACTCCAGGCTTGTCCAGGCAGGTGCGTCGTGCACGTGATTACGTGAGGTCTCATAGTAGCTTAGAGAAGCTTCGACTGAGGCTCACATCATGGAGCAATCAGCTCAAAACCCCATGCAGGGGTTACCTCATGGGAATTCTGCACTATCCACAGATTACTGGAGCACGCTTGATCCCGCCTACCCCGATCCTGAGCAGCAGCTTCAGCAGCCATCTCAACCCCAACACCAACCTCAACAGCAACACGAGTCTTCATCGCAACAAACACCTCTTGGCATTGGATGGGACCATCCTGTTTTTCAACAGCAACAGAGAGAGCTAGCCCCACGACCAGAGCCAAATCATGGCATCTACTCGTCAGTGCATCAGCCTTGGCAGCAAACAAATCCTCTGCAACAGCCGCCGCAACGAGGATATGGAGCTTCGCCCCAGTATCAAATACATCCACAAGCTGCTCACTTCCAGCAGGGACAGATGTCTTTTGACTCTCGTCCCCTGAGTGCCTCCGAATCTTCGGCATTTCCGTCATTTTCCTACCAGCCAAATTACTTCCATCCACAACACCCACACATCTCAGTGCCAGATACTTTTCCTGAAGCACCTACACAGCAGAGAATACAGCCACGGCCACAGCAACAAACCCAGGCCTCAATTTCTTCATACCCTTTACCTCAAGGCTACTCCTCAGAAATGCTGGTAAGCCGACCTGGAATGCCCCTCATGGTGACCCTGGCTCTAACTCTAGGTAGCAAAACACAATTGATTTGACCAACGATTACCCTGATTCAGATCCAAATGTTACCATTAACCCCCAGTTCCTTAATTCCACCCCACAGGCATTCAACCAACAGCAGTCGTCATTAGCAAGCAACTTTCTTCAGGGAATCCCTGCAGACTTCCAACGGCAAGGGAGTGAACAGTAAGTTATCACTTTGATATATGTTTGTTCAAAATGCAGTTGCTGATTTTCTGAAGGGCCAGGCTATTCAATTACTACCAGCATGATCTTTCAGTTCAGTCGCAAATGACACCAACTGGCAGCCATGTGATTCTCCCTAGAGGTATGTCCAGACCAGTTGAAGTCCATTGCACTGGAATCAACACTGACTGCTCTAGGATTAACAGTACCGCAAGTTGTAATCGCCAATAAGAAGGGAGCTTATAACAAGCAGCAAGCAAAGACGACTTCTGTACATGACCAAACGAGGACTGTGTCTGACTCAGAAAGTGAAAGTTCGGATGAATCTGATCTTGAGATTGAAGCACCTGACGAGCCGTCCCCAATCCCTGCGATCCGCCCGACTGAGCCCGAGGCTGCAGCACAATACGATACCCTCCAAGCCGTGTGGTCGCCAAGGAACAAATGGCCTGGTCCTGATAAGCTCAAAAATGCACTTGTAGCCTACAAAGAGCTTGTCAAATCATTGAGAGATGCATGGAAGGAACAAGTTCAGGCCATGAAGCTAGCCGAAAACCAAGAGGACAACCAGAAAGCGACGAAGCTTAAAGAAAAGGTCATTTTGCAGCGTCGCACCATGGATAAAATTGCGATCACAACCCTTGAAATGGGCCATCCTAATATTGTTGAGAAGTATGTATCCCTTTCCCCTCCCAACCCCTATACCTTCCCTCCCTTCCATCTGGCTATAGCGGCCACGCACATCCTGAAGCTATTCGGAAACACCTATAAATATTCTTGGAAGCATTGGATACAACAGCACTGTCACGGGCTAGAATAAAGGGCCGTCGCTCCATTCGCCGGTGGCAAGGCTTGATTATACATGCGTGTCCTGGACCCATATATAAGAATACCAGATGGAGCAAAAGAGTCCCAATCATATTGAGTTCCAGATATTCCCTAGGAAGCTATCTGCGGACCCTAGTGAAGTGGAATCGCTCCTATCTAGAAATTGGCTCAACCCTGCAGCTTTGTGTGGCAAAAACTTGAAACCTTGACATAATTGAGTTCAAATGACTGATCGTTAATTTCGTGTAGGCTGGGAGAGCATCCCATGGTTGTGGCAGCTCTATATTCCTTCTTGGTCGATCGTTTCCAGGCAGCAGACTTTGCTGGGACTCTGACCATTAATTTGCTTGAGGTAAGTTTGACGTTTATCTATTTTTGTGTGGAAGAAATTGACTAACATGGCATAAGCTCTTCTCGCGTTTCTCAACCTTGACAGAAGACCTGATGCAAAAGACCAATCTTTCCAAATTGTTGCCAAAGTTCCTTAAAAAAGGTGGCCAGCAGGTGAAGGACCTCACACAAAAGATCCTAGATAATGCCGCAGCCTCTACGAAGCGTAAGCAGGAGAGTGAAAAGCCTAACAAGGAAGAGTCGCATCCAAAGGGCCTTTCAGCAGACCAGCATAAGGGAGACGCTGGAGTGAAGCGACCCCGCGAGGTGGATAGCAATCTGCAACCTGGCGCAAAACGAATGGCAGTTACCAACAACTTGAAGGATGCGAATAAACTTGCACCCGCAGGCAATGGACCGGCCAAAGGAGCGCCAAGTAGTAAGCCGACTGGCGCTGCAGTGCTGCGCCCTAAACCCAATATTGTGGCCCCCAAGCCAACAAGTCTCTTTGGCACTCTAAGCTCAGCGTCAAAGAGACCTGGGACCACAAATGCGGATAGGGCTGCCGCCGCCGCCGCAGCAAAGCCAACGTATGTGCCCAGGAAGAAAGTGTTTCCGAGATCCATCCGTATTAACCCTTCAAATAGTGCTACTTCCGAAAAGGAAAAGATAGCAGCGCCGAAACCAGCTTTCTCCTTTGGTGATATTATGGCCGACTTGAACAAACCAAAGCAGGCACCAACCCCCAAGCCTGCTGAAGACCAGCCCCCGGAGACTGAAGCTGAGCGCACAAAGAGGTTACGCAAAGAAGAGCGCCGTAAACTTCGCGTGACATGGAAGCCAGATGATGCTCTTACCGAAGTTCGACTATTCACCCACGATCCCGATGAAGAACTAGGTCCCGGCGATGGGTCATTGCGTTCACGGGGAGACGTTAAAGGTGAAGGTAGTGTTCTTAAGCTCCACAAAGATTTGGACGAACTGGAAGAAGAGGATCTCGGTGGTATTCGCGAGACTGTATTTCAAGATGGTTATACTCTTTCGAGTAGGTTATTCCTCCAAACATACCTTTCATTCTTACTGACCATGATAGTGGTCGATTTCGATTTCGATGAATCAAAAGACGGCAGTTTCGTTAAACGCGGTGGCCCCCAGCTGCCAACGAGTCCCGAGAGGGAGGCCCAGGAGCATCGGGAATCTACTACCCTTATGGTCTTCTATACTTCTCCTGCCGACATGCCTGACACACCCAAGGAGCCACCAACTCCTGACCCCGACGATGTCGACGCCGATGTGTTGCCTTTCGGAGAGTTGCCCGACATGATCAAGGTATGCTATACTTCTGAGAGCACCAGAACTTAATACTAACAAAGATACTATAGGTCCGCCAGGAACGTTATTATTCCTACATGAACCCCAAGCCTGCGGCACCCCAACAAAGCCAACAACCGCAGCAACCTACTCCCGGGGACAGTGGATTTGACATTTCGAATTTGCTCAAAATCATCCAGGGTGTGCCTGGACAGGCGCAGCCAACCCCACCGCCGCAGGCAACTCAACCCGGGGCCATGCCGGATCTGGAGAGGACCATCAACATGTTCCGTCAGCAACAACCTCAATCCCAAATCACCCCGGCTGCACCAATACTCACTCCTCAACCTCAAGGTCTTGACTTCAACACGATCTTGAATGTCATGAAACAGATGCAGGCGCCGGCTGCATACTCCCAGCCTCAGCAATCACAACCAGCCATGGCACCCAACCTTGGCGCCATGTTCGCACAATTCGGTGGGCAGAACCAACAGGCTGGTGCTTTCCCATTCCAACAGCAAGGCCATGAGTATGAAGACCCAGAGCGCAAGCGAGGCCGTGAGGGCGGGTATTATGACGACCAGTCTAACTCCGAATCGTGGAGCCGCTCGAAACGGACCAGAGTTGGCGGCAATGAGGCCAAGCCTGTAAGTACACTGCAGATTAAGCATTCTATGATAAGCAACTGGCTAACTCTTTTGAAACAGTATAAGGTGGGACTAGTTGCCTGCAGATTCTGGGCTGAGGGCAAGTGTCGCAAAGGCGACAACTGCACTTTCCGGCACGACCCTCTCTAAATTCAAACATGTATCGCCACATGTTCCCTTTCTCACTGATACCCTTGTACTGCTGTCTCTTACATTGGTACACTTTTCCTTTCTCCCATCTATGCATTACTACATTGGTTCATTTTTTCTTCTCTATCTTGTACTGGGTCATGGACATGCATTTTGCAACTAGAATTCTCTGGTTGGCGTTCATCGCACGGGTGCGTTTCATGGTCTGGGAGGTCAGCATATATCGATTTGTCCTCTAATTCTCAAAATTCTTTGCATGCTCCCGCCGGGCTCAGGCGTTTTCTTTTCCTTTCCAATTGTTTCGCCTTTGTTTCTCGCTTCGCAGATGCATTTAGCGAAGGGGCCCATATCTGGGGTATTATGGCGCATGGATTGAGGACGATGACAGAAATGTACAATTAGGATACCTTTATTTTTTTTTTACAGCCAAGAATTATCTTTAGCGCAATGATCTTTTTCATCCCTCTAATCTCTTAATAGTAGCGGAAACGTCGGACCAATAATAGAGGTTCCCGATTCTCATAGAACTAAATCCTGGGCAGCCGCTTACGTCGGAACTAACGGGAAACATCTACAAATATGGATTTATCTCAGTCCCTACGAGATGCTTGTGCTGCCCCAGATTCTCTCTTCGCCCTTTCGGACGAGGAATTGATTCACCTTGTGTACAAGGAGTTTCCGGAGGAAATTGACCGTCTGCGGCGGGCATACTCCATCCGAGATGGTCCCTGGACCCCTCCTAGCACTCCATCCCCATCATACATTTTATACAACGAAGACTACGATGAAGTAAATCGCACACTTGTGGGGCTTCTATCACTTCGCTGGCTTCATACGGGTCAATACGAGACCTTCATCGGCTCACAGACATCCTCATGTCAACTAACGAGGGCCTCATTCAATTGGATCCATGAATTCTACACGCAGCTCATCACAGATGCAAATGCACTATTTACCTTAATCACCTCGATAATTATCAATGACCTAGGCAAAGACCCGCAGCTGGCATCCGACTGCTGCGCAAAGACTGGTGTGGATATCTCAATCCTCAACCACGACGCCATTCTCCTCGCGGCCTGTAAGGCCGGCCTAGTCCCATCACTGGACAAGCTTCCAGACCAAGATAGAGACGATGTGTTTCAGGCGATTGAGGTCGGTGCGACCTTTAACTTTGGTCAACTGGCACAGGCAGAAAACGCCCCAGCCTGCCTGTCTGGTCTACCCCGCATGAAGGGCCACAATCGCAGTTTCCGAGTCCGCTTCATGGAGCAATTGCTTGATATCGCCGGTGCAGCAGGGCACATGGACTGGACGTGTGCGAAGAAACTCATACAGCCTATCTTTGAGTCCTATCGCAATGTCTATGATGTATGCGAGGGTGTCATTGCGGGCACTCTGACCGTCCGCAGTGGGTATGACTTGATATTGATTCGACGTGCGTCTTTCCTCCGCAACAAGGAAGTGCGATTGTTCAAAGTGGAGGAGAATCCAGAGGACCGGGCATTGATGCGATTGTTTTGTATGGGGAATGTTACTACGCAGGAAAAGGCGCTTTTGTATGAGGATGCGTGGCGTGCGTTGGAGGACCCGGTCAGGGAAACTCTGGCCAATGCTCTCAATTTAGATGGTAGGAGGAGTGAGCCTGCTGTTCAGCCGACGTATATACCTGCTTTACTTGGTCGTATACAGGATGTGAATGCGTTGGTGTGTACCCTGTGTTACCTTGCTCGGGTTATGAGTGCGACGGACGTTGAAGACCCTTCAGCGGTGGTTATCGAGCGGAGTGTGTATTCGGTTTTGAAGCAGTTTGTTGAGAGTGAGGAGTTTCAGGAAGATCCAACTATTTTGGAGAGGGTTGACGTGCCTGATGGTGTGGTTGCTTTGACCACAGCCTCGGTTTGATAGAGTTATAGTTGACTGTCGACTATTTAAAAATTTGACCGAATTTTAATTCTCTCTTTCAACTTCTAGTGTACAAGAACAGTCGGTTGTTTATGGCCTCAGTCCGTTCACGGGAGAGGAGAAGAGGTAGAGGTAGAATAGTGCGTCCGTTTGAGGTGGTCCAAACGGGTACGGTTGACATCGCCCTGGCTCGCCAAGCTGATCTTCAACCAGTCGTTAGGTGTAGCCTGCTCTTCAAGCGAGCTGCGCATGCGAACAACACCCTCACGATACAGACAGTTCGTTTCAAAGCGCCAGCTGCACAGCAATGCCACCTTCCCGCCCACATATCAAAGCCACGACAGGTGGTCGCTCAGCAGAAATCACCGACACAGTAATATTGCCCGTGTCCACGAGGGTGAAGATACGGTGCGTTTTAGGGAGCTTCAGTTCTTCAAACTTTTGCCTCCAATATTTCTGAATAGGTTCTTTGCTCATTCGGAGCTCTTTATGTCGGAGTTTCCCAGAGAAGACAGTCGACGAGGCCGTATACGACAGGCGATCATTGAAATTACCGTAGATAGTTTTCTCAAGGTCATGCAATGACATCGTGCCTTCAAATCCGACAAGATGGTTGGAGCTTCCCTGGACATCGCTGCAGAGCTTTCGTACCGCCCAAGGACAGAACCAGGAGATGATCCAGACGATTCCGAGGTACATAGGAACAGCCAATAGGTAGCGAGGCACAATTGTGTGCAGGATAAATTCCATCATCTGCGCTATCACCGGAGGTTGCTCTCCCCATGGAATGACTGAAACCGCAAGCGCAATAGCCGGTGGGAAGAGAGCAAAACCATTCCCTACAAGCCCGATACCAAGATAGATGATTACCTTTGAGATGGCAGTACTAATCCCCCCATCGAGGCCTTTGGTATACTTCAATTTTGGGAAATTCTTCCATCGGATGGGGATGCCTCGGCAGCGATTTATGATGACCGTGGGCTCTTCTGAATCGTTGCCAACACCAACCACATCACAAATTGGTTTAATGTCCCAAAGATGAGTACCGTATTGATCTTTATCTGCGATATTGCGAAGAATCGCTTGACTGCCAGCTGGGGCCAATATAGGTAGCCTATCCTTTGTGGAATGTTTCGGGTCCGGCGACAGACAGAGGAGACGCTCAAGTAGTTGATTGCTATCGTTCACGATGGATAGTCGTGCAATGGCCTGGAAGACGTTATCGGAATCATTGGGGGTAAGTCGATAGGACAAAAGTCCCATCGCAGCGTAGGCCATATGCTTGGTCTCATACCCCTGGGTGTCGACGCTAGTTGTCTGCATTGCCATAGCTTGGACCGCAAAAGTGAACAATTGTAGCTCACTAAGCTGAAGACTGTTGGTATGATGATTGATGAGGCAGCCTACGGCGTCTTCATCTTCATGTTCATCCGAATTTGACTTAGTGCGCTCCCAGAAGCTTTGTTTCATGTCACTCAATGTGACATCATGGGGTGTGAGCAAAGACATATATTTAGAATGGGTGAAACAGTATCGGATTCTGTTGGCAGCGAGGAGGACTTCCGGAAATGTCCATATCCGTTGTCCCCATATCTTTTTGTCCTCCCCACTTTCAGTCGGCAGGACTACATATACTCGCTTCGCACAGCGGACCGCATCGCAAATCGAGTTGACATCTCGGGTGTATTCAGATTCGAAACGACGGGCTGGTATACTCTTATCGTCCGAAACGCAATCGATGTCCATCCAGAATGCTTCTAGTGGAGGGTCATGCGGGTCCTTATGAAGGTTTTCGTGCTGGAGCATGCGCTCAGCCACTTGATACAACATCTTGCGTAATTCCTCTTTTTCAATGCCAGGATAATTGGCCCGCGAGAAGCTCAGGAAGATGTAAGGTTGCAGCATGCCCGTCTTTTTATCACGAATGTCCTTGGTCTTCTTGGGAGTCCACTGATTGGTAGTTTGGTCTTTCACCACCAAGCGGGAAGGAATCGTAAGACTCGCAACATTTGACTGCGGTCGATAATTGTCGGGGGACTGGTCTAGTGGATTCATTGCATGTTTGGGCCAGTGCCAGTAAACATTCTGATACTTTTTGTAGGGCTCAGATGGGCCGTTCTCACTCCATGGTGGGGTACAAATATCGAAAAAGATCACAACTGGAATAATCCAAGATAGTATCAAGGTGAGCAGAATTGATGTGATCCAATGTAGGGCTGATGAGATCAAGGCGATCAGTATCGACCGAATCCAGGACAGGATTTGTATGCTGGCTCTTAATATTTTCAATATCAAATTGTTCTGCTTTTGAGACATATCTTTCCTTTCATCTTCGTATTTCTTGACTCGAACACCGTCGAAGCGGTGAAAACCAAACGGGTTCAAGCAAAGTTCGGCCAGGGTGATGATGAATGGGACTCTCCCACGAATGGGGCGCCGCCCCCATTGACGAGGGAGATACTCGGTCCCTTCATCGAGTTCTGGAGCTGCCTGCACGACCAGTCGACGTGGATACTCTTTGTTTGTGCTGTAATATGTGTCCATGTCGGTGTACTTTTCGTGATCGTTGTCTCCATTAGGATTCAGATACTTTTTCTTGTCGTACCCATAGCTAGTATCCTCTAGCTCTAGCAGGCGATCGTGAATTGTTTCCGGGTTGGCAGAAGGTCGCTGGAACCGCATTCCAGATGATCGATGGTGTTCGCCGTCATATCGCTTTATGAGATTCTCCTCTGCTTTCTCCTTATCGGTTGGCTTCTTGCGCCTGAAAGGAAAATAATGAGCCATTCTTGGCAATCGAGACTGGGTCTCAGAGGGAGAAGTAGGAATTCTTGGGGAGGATGAGAGCGCACACCAGGTCACGTTCAGCAGAGAAGCAAAGAGAGGTGTTCGAAGGTAAATTGTAGGATAGTTCTTTTGAATTAGTACAGATGGAACTGTACTGCATGTATGTTGGGATGAATCTTGCAAATATATTGATACTGGAGGGTATCAGAAGTAAATTGTAAAGCTATCTAACATCTTCCTGGAATGAGCCCATATTTATGGACTTCATTCTTCCTTTTCACCCCTATAGATACCTGTTAGATATGTGTTAGTAATCTTGAGGCTCAACTGTGATGGAGGATACGGATTTCATTGGCTGGAAATGGCTCAATTTAGCCCGAATGGAAATGCAGCCCAAATTAAAATGCATGTGATACAACATCATGTACTCTATATGCAGGTTTTAGAAAGAGTAAAAGATAAACGATGTCAGACTGTATCTATGGAGCTAATCTTGCAATGTCGAGATTCCCAGTCGTAAGAACAGAATCATGACCAATCCCAGTGCGTAATGTAGCATTTTGCTTTTTTCAAGGCGTCAAGGATGTTCGGAGATAATCCATCAAAAGGACCGAGAGTAAGCAAGCACATGGGCAAGTTCTCATTTCCCAAGGTGGTTGAGCCGCATATTGCAGAGTTCTGACCCCCAACGAGTTCGTGTTCGCAATCAAATAGGGAGATGATAGCATGAGCTGGTGACCTGGGAAGGCAATTTGGGTTGATTGCCTCGTATATGACCCCTGTTCCTGTCCCTGTCCCCATTTTGCTTATTCATTTCATTTTGTGCTGCAGTTATAGCGTGGCATGGGGGGCCGGCAGCTTCAACCGTAGTAATGATAGCCACATCTATAGCTTATTTCTGGATCATGAGGAGGATCCTTTTTTTAGCTATCCTCATACCATAATACTTCATAACTATTTCTCCTATGTATCCCTGGAGTGAGAGCCTCAACTCTTGGGGTAGTAGGGCGGGACTAAAAATCGATGCCCTTGGCCTTGTCACGCTCCTCGGAGCGGAGGAGATGGACCGCAGTATCGGGTGACTCGTACCGAGCATATACCTCGAATACCTGCCGTTATTGGGTGCTTTTGTGGTGGCTGGAAACAGATTCACCACGAAGAAACCCGAATTCGTTCTCTACAACATATCAGCGGGGATCATGACCACCGAGCTTGCTGGCTGGTTTTCGCGATGGCTGCAGACACAGGACTTCAACCAAGTCCGGAGTATTGTCACATGGCAGGTTATGGAGCGGCCGCGCAGATGGAGACAGTTTATCGTCGGCTTCTTGCTTGTTGCATTGCCAGTGCACGGGATGCTCATCGCTCTGACTGTGTTAGCCGCGGACTGGTGGGGATTTGCAAACGTGATAGCCATGGCCATTTCGGTGGTAGTGCGATGCATAATGGTAGCAGAGAATCAGGCCGGCATCGATGCGAACATCCAGAAAGCAGAAGAAGCAGCTCAAGGTTACCCAGCCAAGCGAGCCAAGTATGATGAGTCAATGGAGATATTGGAGAGCCGTCGCCAGAATGGATACGCCATAGACGGAGTCAAAATACCCATCGAGCCTCAAGACCCAAACAAAATTGCCAAGGTAATTGTGTTGACAGAAGACTCGAAGGTCGTCACTCTTGCAATCCCCGCGTATCTGCCGAGATGGGTATTTGCAACCAATCCCCAGCCACCGAACCGATACATTTATCAGGCGTGCCAATGGATAGGCTGGGCCGCTTTTGCGGTGCATGTCATCAGTATCGGAATGGCAGCCTTGTACACACAAATTGTGTCAGTGGTGGTGATTCTCGTTTCTACAGTCCTCCCGGCCCACGGAGTTGGCGGTGAAGACTCTCGGATATGGGAATCCATTCGAAGTCACTGGGGCCACGAAGTGCAAGAAAAAAGCTGCTGGGTTAGCTCAAGACTCAAGGCCACCGTATCTATTTACCCCGAGGAGTATATGGATTGGCCCGAGTTAGAGGAGCAGAAACCCCTCACTGTGCATGTAGGCAATGAAGAGAAGATCGGCAAACAATGGACTAGGCTGATAGGCCCGTCTGACTTGAAATCTACTCCAATCCCAAAAGGAAAGAAGGACGAAACTCGGCAGGACTTACTCGCTTGGCTAGATTTAACGATGGAGGAAGATGACGTGCTGACTGCTTGGGGGCTCATACCACATAGCCGGGAATGGAAAAATGTATATTTAGAGAAAAAGAATATACATCACAGGAGATTGGTGACGATATCATTGGATTCCGCCCATTGAGGGGGATGTGAAGGTTGATGTCTTGGAAGGGAAGAATTGGTTTTGATGTCAATGTCCTTTACCGCCCTTCCTCTTCGTCTGACTATCAAAGACACAAAAACTCTGGATGAAGTTGTTCACCAAGGATATTTACAATAAGCGTCCATGATTTGCTGCATAAGTTATATGTCTTGCATTGTGATAAACCCCAAGCCATTCTCTTGATCTACTAAAATCCACCAATATGGTCTCCAACCCAAATTCCAATTTTGATCTGTGCAACCACCTCATTGTTGTTTGCTGTCATGCCATTTACACTGGAGGCTCACGTCTTGGAGCTTCAGAGGACGAATGGTTAGTGGGATCAGAATAAGCTCTTTATATGGAAGACATCAACCTGATGCACAGAGCAGGCTGATTGAGCCCTTCCAAAAGGGAGAAACACCCACATTCATCGATCATGTCAAAGCCGGATTGAAAGCTTTAGCGGAAGACTCCCATGGGTTGCTTGTGTTTTCCGGGTAAGGCCATTTCACCATATACTTTTCAATTTCTTTTGTTGATCCATTGCAGAGGGCCTACCAAGAAGCCCAGAACTGAACTCAGCGAAGGTCAATCTTACCTTGTAAGTCTCCCAAATTCCCACAACTGACTACCTAGAAAGCTCATGTATAGCAACATCCAGAATCTGGCCAGAGATAACAACTACTTCCAAGACATGTCCACTATCTCCACAATTGACCCATCAAGAGTCATCGCAGAAACCAACGCCACAGATTCATATCAAAACCTATTATTCTCTCTGATACGGTTCCAGGTATACACGGGCGTTTATCCACAGAGAGTCACAATTGTGACGCATGAGTTTAAACGCGCTCGATTCATGCAGTGCCACTTTCCAGCCGTGGGACTCGTACCTGTTAGCCCAGAACAAGAAGACTATACGCAAAAAGTTGTTGTGATAGGTATAAATCCACCAGAGGAAATCACTCCATCAGAGACCTTGACTCGAGGGGAGGCTATGAACGGGATTGGGCTGTGGAGAGAAGACCTTTACGGAGTGAACCCGGATTTGGTAGGCAAAAGGGTAAGGCGAGGCTGGTCCCCTGGAATGGAAAATGATATATTCTCCCATCTGGAACCGGAAAATGTGGTGTTGCATCTAATCCGTTATGATGGGGATGATCATTGCAATAGGTGGTTCCCGAAGCGAGAGAGTTTGCCTTGGTCTTATACTAGAAATGAAACAACCCAGGGGCCTTGATTTTGATTGAGAACAAATATCAAGACTTCTGATATGATAAGTGGAAGAAGTCCTTGATTCTTCCCCGAAACGCCAATCCATAGTGTCCTTCGTATTTGATCATAATGTGCCACCAAGAGCTTAATCCGCCAGCCGGTAGCTGACCAGAGTCCCAACTCGGTGATTGTTTGTGCTGAAGCTCCTTAGTTGGACCTTCTCTGCGTTCTTAATTTCCTTGGCATCACTGTCACCCCATTCCACAGGCACGTCTGAATCGGCGTCGGCATAGACAAGTACATTGAAGGTGCAGTCGCCATCAAGGACGGGGAGGAAGGTGACAGAGGCGGTAATTTGGCGGAAGATAGCTTGGATCTCCTCCTGGATCTGCTTTTCTGTCTTCTCGATAGGTTCGGCGGGTTTTGCATCTCTTCAATACACAAACATGTGGGATTAGTGTGATGGTCAAGATAAGCTCCCATTGGCATAAACTTACCCCTGTGTGCTGTTCTCTTTGTCGGCAGCTTTCTGTGAGCTCTTGCTTTTGGATTGTTTGCCAAAGACTTCGACCTATTCCATCACATTATAGTTAGCCACGGACTCGGATGGGAGAGTGTCGAATGCATACATCGAATTGCCACCTTTCCACATGTTCACCAGTCTCCTTGCTCGTGATAACTACCACAAGCTTCGAGATCTTTCCTCCCTGCATCCATTCCTTCAACTGCGACATGATCTTCTTGATGTAGGCTTTAACCTGGTCGTCGGCCGAAACTGCTATGAAGTTAGGGTTGCCGATGTCGATTAAGAAGAAAACGATTCACGAACCCAGCATATTGAGGCCATATTTTTTAATTCTATTTCAGATTAGCTTGCTGCTCTGTAGTGGGCAAAGTTGGGAGGGCATACTTACGTTGTGAAATCCTCGGGGGGATAGACTCCTCGTTGGAAGCTGAACACCCAATGCGATCAGCTAGTGTCTTGGGCTGAGTATGACTACCAACTTACAGGATTGAATTAATCGAGTATTCAAACTGAGACTGTTAGCACTCATATTCCATTGATGCAACCAAAAGGGCAACTCACGAATTCGGAGACAAGCTTGGCCGATCCTGTTATCTTGTAAGCTTTGTACAGCCACTATAAGTAGGCGATGGGTATGAACCTTTGATTGATAGCTTGTGCACCTTTGACTTCTCCTTGGTTTCCGGCATGATGAGCTTGTAGATAGCTGAGGACTTTGAAGGAGAAAGAAAGGTAGAGCTTTGTTTATGTCGAGTGGTCACCGCAGCAATAAACAGTCACCGCCCGCGCGTCCGTTTTTTCTCCGCAAATCGTGACGAGACCTACCAGCACTGAAGCGCTAATCGATTGCCCCGCGGATACAATTCGATTCGACGCTTGCATACCATCAGCCCCTCCTATGCCACCGCAGAAGTCCCAATGCGAGGATGTCTGCAGTTAGGCCGATGGCTGAGCGCAGCGCCGAGATGCCAGGCCGCGAGCCTCCGACCACCAGCTGTCTTTTCTTGGTATATTTATAAAAGGAGTTTCTCTACTACTACGGTTTACAATGGACGTTCGAAAACCACGCCCATAAAACTCGATGTCAGCCTCGAGAAGAGAATCGCTGCGATCCCAATCGAACGTTTTCGCAATTTCTGCATCGTTGCACACGTCGATCATGGCAAGAGCACGCTTTCCGACCGATTGCTCGAATTGACCGGCACAATTGAAGCGGGAACGAACAAGCAAGTTTTAGACAAACTCGATGTCGAGCGAGAGCGAGGAATTACGGTCAAAGCACAGACGTGCACTATGATCTACAACTACAAAGGCGAGGATTATTTGTTACATTTGGTCGATACACCTGGCCATGTGGACTTCCGCGCTGAAGTGTCGCGGAGTTATGCCAGTTGCGGTGGAGCAATCCTCTTGGTTGACGCCAGCCAGGGTGTGCAGGCGCAAACAGTCGCCAATTTCTACTTGGCCTTTGCGCAAGGCCTCGAGTTGATTCCCATTCTCAACAAGGTTGATCTCCCCTCATCGGACCCAGAGCGGGCTCTGGAGCAGATAAGAAACACATTCGAGATTGATACAGAAAACGCGGTGATGGTCTCGGCAAAGACTGGATTGAATGTTCCGGCTGTGCTACCGACGGTGGTGGAGAAGATCCCTGCGTATGTTTAAACAGCTGCCCCCAAAGAGCTGTTTTTTTGCTGACTGTATGCTAGACCTATCGGCGATTCTAAGAAACCACTTCGTATGCTTCTTGTGGATTCCTGGTACGACTCCTACAAGGGTGTGATCTTGTTGGTCCGTGTTTTCGACGGCGAGGTGCGTGCAGGTCAGCAGCTTATATCCTTCGTTACCGGTCTCAAATATTTTGTTGGTGAAGTCGGCATCATGTATCCGACTGAGACCGCGCAAACCGTTCTCCGTGCAGGTCAGGTTGGGTACATCTACTTCAATCCTGGTATGAAGCGGAGTAAGGAGGCCAAAATTGGCGATACCTTCACAAGAGTCGGTTATGAAAAGATCGTCGAGCCTTTGCCTGGATTCGAAGAGCCCAAGTCGATGGTCTTCGTGGCTGTATACCCAGTGAATGCGGATCTCTTCGAGCATCTGGAGGACAGCATCAACCAGCTGGTTTTAAACGACCGAAGCATCACAGTACAGAAAGAGTCTTCTGAGGCCCTAGGCGCCGGTTTCCGTATGGGCTTCTTGGGAACCCTTCACTGCTCCGTGTTTGAAGACCGCCTACGACAGGAGCATGGCGCAAGCATCATTATTACACCACCCTCCGTCCCAGTCAAGATCGTATGGAAAGACGGCACCGAAGAGATTATCACCAATCCCGCCAAATTTCCCGATGATGATAGCGTACGGCTCAAAGTTGCCGAGGTTCAAGAGCCATATGTCTTGGTCACTTTGACATTCCCAGAAGAGTACCTGGGAAAGGTGATTGAGCTCTGCGAGGCCAACCGTGGTGAGCAACAAAGTATTGAATACTTCACAGCGACTCAGGTCATTATGAAGTACGAGCTGCCTCTAGCCCATTTGGTTGATGATTTCTTTGGAAAATTGAAAGGAGGCACCAAAGGCTATGCCAGTCTGGACTACGAAGAATCTGCATGGCGAGCTGGCAACATCGTCCGGCTACAACTCTTGGTCAACAGAGAGCCAGTGGATGCTGTAACGCGAATTATGCACTCGAGCCAGGTGAGCCGACAAGGCAGAATTTGGGTAACCAAGTTCAAGGAGCATGTTGATCGGCAGCTTTTCGAGATCATCATCCAGGCTGCTGTCGGTAAGAAAATCATCGCTCGTGAGACTATAAAGCCTTACCGAAAAGACGTGCTAGCAAAATTGCATGCAAGTGATGTAAGTCGGCGACGAAAGCTGCTCGAGAAGCAAAAAGAAGGCCGCAAGAGGTTGCGAGCAGTTGGAAATGTGGTGATTGAGCACAAAGCTTTCCAGGCATTCTTGGCGAAATAAGCATGTATATTAGCAACCAGATACACTGTATAACATTATTTTTTGAACATCTTTTCGTATCGAGGCATCTATATAAACCTGCAAGCCGCTCGTGTCAGCGGTGAGAGCTTCACCGGCAGAAAAAAAGTTCATGTCAAACCCCGCCATACAACTTCCTCCTCTGATCATTCCCAGTTCACTTCATTGTGTCGAAACACCCTTGCTCAAGATCTGTGGCTTCGAATTGTGGATTTACCACATAATACCAGAGTCAATTTATCTTCAAGCCTGAAATCTTATCCTTGGCGGCTGAAATCCGCCTTTGCCGATCCCATAGCCTTGAGTCACCCTGCCATGCTCCGCATTTGACGACGGCCATGCAGCCTCCAGAGGGTGCGCAGGTAGACCTGGGCAAGGCCCAGGTTATCGACAGTGTTCCTAAAGTGATCAAGGAACTGAAGTTTGGTGTCTTGTACGCAGTTCACTCACATGTGCTTGTCACAAGCGTTTGTCGCAGACTTGATCGCTAATGAAGATTTATGTTTCCAGAACCAACGATGACATCGTCGGCCAAGCGGTGGTGGAAGTTTCTGACCGAAAATTTTTCGACTTGGATCAGACGCGAACGGTTGTTTCGAATGGACCTCTCGACCAGCGCATGGGTATCTCGAACAAAACTGATGCTTGCGCAACATGTGGAAATAACCTCAAAGACTGTAATGGTCATTTCGGCCATGTGAGACTGGTCTTACCATCTTTCCACGTCGGTTATTTCAAGCGCGTCATTTCGATCCTCCAGGAAATTTGCAAGGAATGTTCGAATATTCTGCTCCCCGAGGCGGAGCGCCGTTCCTACCTTCGTGATATGCGCCGACCGGGCCTTGACAACCTACGCCGAACGCAGATCGCAAAGCGCATCAACGAACGGTGTCGGAAAACCCGTGAATGTACATACTGCGGAGCGATTAACGGTGTCGTGAAGAAGACCGGAACAAGTGCTCTGAAGATTACCCACGACAAATTCCGCGCATTCAATGTCTCGGTTTCCGTCAAAAAGCAGACACCGATCAGTAAGGATGTCTTTGATAACTCTTTCCTCGAGGCAAGAGGCGCAAACCCGGAGGTCGAAAAACACTTCAAAAAGGCGCAGGATGACATGAACCCCCTTCGCGTTCTTAAGCTATTCAAGAAAATGTCCGACTCTGACTGCGAATTGATTGGTATGAATCCAAAGGAGGCTCGTCCGGAAATGTTCCTATGGCAATTCATTCCAGCTCCACCGGTTTGCATTCGACCTTCAGTGGGACAAGATGGTGCATCCACAGAAGACGACTTGACCGCCAAGCTAGGTGACATTGTGCAGAGTAATATCAATCTTAAGAATGCGTTGCTCAAAGGCGCTCCAGTTCAGACAATCATGGAGTGCTGGGACTACATGCAGCTTCAAATTGCTGTCTACATTAACAGTGATGTGCCTGGACTTAACAAAGCCGATCTCGGAAAGCCAATCCGAGGCTTCGTCCAACGCTTGAAGGGAAAGCAAGGTC